CTCCCGGAGCCCTGCTGGGCCATCGAGCTCCAATCAGGGGGCTGTCAGAGGGGGACCCTGATGCTGTCCTTTCAGGAGATTGCTCAGAAAGCCGGGACAACCTCAGGGTCCCTAATGAGCTCAGCAGCCAGGGGCTTCCACTGGAGACCCCAGGAGTAGGCGGGCACACGGCTGAAGTGACAAGATGCTCATTCCTATGAGCAGGCACCAGCTGTGTGACCAGCAGTGGCCGAGCCATGTGGCCTGGCCCCTGAGTGAGCTCAGAAGTGAGCCCGGCTGTGCCAGCCCAGATAACAGCCCCTCCGGGAGATGAGAGACTATCCCCATGTTACCCCCCAGTCCTCCTCAGAACGCCCTGGGTGAAATCACACATTCTGAATTTGAATATGAAGACTAATAAATGAGAAATGAAATAAAAAAACTCCTCATATATCAAATGCACCACTGCACGGGAGACAGGACTTTAAATAGATTCACGTAGACACATTTCAAAACGGGCCATTTGGACATTAAAACACAAATGCTCTCTGTGGCTTTGGGAGCAGTGCCAGCATGTTCAGTGGGCTGGTCACAAGATCCTCACCAAATCCCTGAACCCCCATCCTTATCCTGCTGACCCAAGCACACTTCCACCCAGACACGGTGCCGCTCTGCACACAGCTGCCCTCCCCTCCAGCCCCATGCCATTTAAAGACTCTCTAAACACTGCGTGGATTTTTTCTCAGCTGGAACTTATTTTCCTGTGCCTCTTACTTCTTTGGGACAGGAGCCCTGGCTCGGTTTGCCTTCTCTCTTCAGCACCGGCCTTCTGTGGGAGGAAGGAGTAAAGCAGGAAAGGGGTAAATGCCAGCATCTACAACAGTGTCCTTAGCTTTCCTCGTGGGCAATGGTGAGAGAGCTCTGGCTCTTTCTAGGACAACCTCAGGGTCCTTAATGAGCCATGGGTCATTAGGTGGGGAGCCCTGGGAGGGGTGCGGCTGGGGTGGGGCTCCCTCATCACTCACTGCTTTCCAGTGTCTCAGCTTCCACCCGGACTCAGGCAGGACCAGCCTCCCCGCTTTGATGGTCAAGGGCTGTTCTAGGGATAGGCTGGCAAGACTTGTGAA